TTCTTTCTCCCATTGAACTAGACTCCCTGGGGTATCTATCCTGCACGACAGGAATTTTGAGCACGTTTGTAGGAGGATTGCAATATAGATCGACACATTCTTCGCCGAATGCGCTGCTCACAATCTCCTCTTTCATCTCGTCGTCGTCGTCGTCGTCGTCGTCGTCGTCGTCGTCGTCGTCGTCGTCGTTGTCGCGCGGCGGGTGCCGCGGAGAAACATTTGTTTCCACCATCGGTGGGGCCTCATTCCGTCAATCAGGGCGCCGAACAGATAATTTGTTTCCACTATTGGGGGGTTCTGAGGACTTAACGCTGTCATGTCTGGGCTCCCAGATCCCGATCTACTTTAGGCGCCTTCCTACTTCAAGAGTCGAGTGCTTTTCCCTCTCCACCTCTTCTTCAAGGGGCGGGCGGAAGCCCAGTCTGCTTTCACCGGCTTCCTGCTTCATGCTCCTACCCACTTCTTCCAACCGACGGGTATGGGTACCCTGTGCTCCGAGGAGCGCCGCACCTTCCTGCTCGACTGGCCGTCTTGCGGCGCGTCGCCGCGGCTGCCGCTGACCGCCCAGGCGCGGGACGAGCTGCAGGCCAGGGCGCGGCGGCGGAAGGCCGCCGGGCCCCTCTTCAAGGGCGCCGTCTTCGTGCCCGCCGAGTGCCACGCCAGCAGCGCGTCGGGTGGGGTGCCGCTGGGCGAGCACCCCTTCCCCGAGGACGGGGGGCAGCGTCAAGGGGGGGGCCAGGCGCGTTGGAGGGATGCATCGGCCCCGTCGGCGCCCATTCATCGCCGACGGTGGCCCGAATGCCCACCCCGCCCAGGAGCGTGCGGGTTTGCTCTCGAGGGCCCATGGCCGGTGTGTCGACGAAGTATCAAGTGGACGTTCCCCCCCCTGAGCCGGTTCCCGCATGTCACGTTCCCCCTCAGAGGAGCGCGTCGTGGCAATGATAGAGAGCTGGCGGGAGCACGTCGGGATCGGTAGGATGGTGCTGGTGGGGCACTCCATCGGGGGCTTCCTCGCCTTCACGTACGCGGAGCGGCACCCGCAGCGCATCGACCGCCTGGTCCTGTGCTCCCCCTGCGGGCTCCCCCGGAGGCCAGACGCCCTTGGGGTCTCCGAGGCCGAATACCTGCAGTGGCGCCAGCGCGCCGACGAAGAGGAGCCGGAGTTCCAGAACGAGTTTGCGAAGTCCCCCTTCGCGAAGCTGAAGCTCCGTTGGTCCGACTGGTAATTGCGTTTTGGTGCCGCCCTGGATCCTGATTCGTGGACGTCCCGAGGGGTACCCACAGGCCTTTGGAGGTCCCTGGAGGCCCAGGGAAGGCGGCCAGCGCGCCCAAGAGTCCCCCACAACAAGATCGTGCGATACCCTGCCTGCTCGATCCTCGAGGGTCGAGGGTCAAAAACTCTAGGACTCCCAGATGGGGCCTGAGCAGATGGGGTTCCGAGGGGTCCGCCCCGTCGCCGATGCGTCGGCGGTGCGCCTCGATGGGGAGCCCGGTTTGGTCCACGCCGACGGTGCCGGTGCATCACCGGCGTCGCCGGTGCATCGCCGATGCACCTGCGACGCATCGGTGGTGCGGCACGAGCCGCCGACCATCCACTCTGACCCCACCAGCAGGTCCGACTACCTGCGCGCGTGCCTTTGCTGCCCCGTCGTGGGCGCGCTGTGGTTGCCGGCGGCCCTTGCCGGGCTGCTGCGGCGGCTGTGCTGCGGCCGCCGCGGCGGCGGAGGTCCGCGGTACCGCGACGGCTTCCCACACCACGGCGCTGCCCAGGACCTCCACTTTCCCCGACTCTGGGCGGGAGGCACACGGCGGCGGCACTGGATGAGGACCGCCTTCCTGGGGCCCAGGCCCTGGCGCAGTCCTCCTTGCTTCGAGGCGAGGTGCGTGGCCCACGTTGGGCCGCCCATCGGTCGCGAGACCCGTATCTTAAACCTCCACCGATTCGAAGGTATCCTTATCGAAGCGAAGGTATCCTTATCTTATAAGATATCCTTATCTTAAACCCCCTGGGTTCCTCATCGAAGGCATCCTTATCTGAAACCTCCACCGTATTCGATGCCCACGGCTGCGCGGCTCGGGCCCCCGGGCCGCGACGCTGCGGATGCGCGCGGCTGCCCCGCGCGGAGCGCGCCCCCGCGACCGCGTATAGCCACGGCACCGCGCCCCGGGAAATGCAAGCAGAGCGCGAGGGCGTGGACCTGGAGAGGCTCGCCGCTCGTGGCCCGAGCAGCAGCCCTGGGGCCTCCGAGGTCTCGGCAACGCTGAGGGCGCGTTTGTTCTTGGCAGCTCTCGGCCTCCAGGCGCTTTCGGGCCCCGGGGCTGGCAAAGACGACCCTCCCGGATGAGAAGCAGCCCCCTGGAGGGAGTCGAGGGCTCCGGGGCCCGCGAGTAGGAGAGGCCAGCACGCTGGAGCTCTGGGGCGGGATCTTCAGCGCTCTCCGGAGAGCAGGAAAGCCTTGCCTGCTGGGAATCTCGCCCGCCTCGACCAGCCAGGGCTGCTAGCCCCATCACCCCTGGCTGTCGCCGATTTCGTCTCCACCCCTTTGGCCCCGGTTGTCGCCGATCTCGCCGCCCGCCACGACCAGCTTCCCGTCCGATGTCGTCGCCGCCGCCGCCTGCCGGGACCTGCCTGCCTCGGGGCCGCCGCCGATTTTGCTCGCCCCGGCTGGCACGGACTGGCCCTCTCTGCTCTGCCCGTCGCCGATCTCGCCTGCCTCTGCAGGGCCCGACGGGCCCTCCCTCTCCGCCTGCCCTGGTCCGTCTGCGGCTCCGTCTGCCCTGGCAGGCCCCGACCAGACCCGTGCCGTGGGTCGTCGTCAACTCGTCCTGCCCCGACCTCGACCTGCCCCGACCAGCCCCTTGCCCCGGGGCGTCGCCGATCTCGCCTGCCCGCGGACCCCTTGCGGGCGCCGTCCAGAGTCGCGCCTGGCACCTCGAGCTGCGTACAGCTTTGGACTGGCCGACCAGGGTTTTCCATACGTCATAACCGAGTCTTGGGCGTTTCCTGCCTCCCCCCACTCTGGAGCGCACTGGCAAACAAGTGGAGCCTGCGGAGTCGCGCAAGGTTTCACCACTCGAACCTTCCGACCAGCCCCGACCAGCCCCTTGCCATAAGCTGCCGCCAATCTGGCCTACCCCGACTAGGTCAGGTCAGCCCCTTGCCCCAGACTGTCGTCTTGGCTTGGGCAGTCGCCGACCTCGTCCTCGGCTGTCGCCGATTTGACTTGCCCCGACGGGCCCCAGCTAGTCTCGACTGACCCCTTGCCCTGGTTCGTCGCCCCGATTCCGCCTGCCGCGGTCAGCTCTGACGAAACGAGCCCCTTGCGATGGATCAACTCTCCGATCTGGGCTGCCTCGACCAGGCCCCAGACTGCATCTTTCTGTGGATTGTCGCCGTCTCCGCCTGCCCTGCCCCACAGCTAGCCGCTTCCCCAGGACTTCTCAACCCTGGCTTGGTTCTGGCGTGCCGCTAGCCCCACGTACCCCGAAGCAGCCCCACTTGCTCCCACATTCAGCCATTTGGTTCCACTCTCTTCCACATGTCTCCTCCTGCTTCTACGTGCTGCCACTTTTCTCCATTACTTCGACACGCCACCACGTGCCGCCACTCGTTTCCTCGTGCATCCATCTGTGTCCTCTCACTTCACCCTGTTTTGTTGCGAGCTCCTGCTTGCACCAAGCCATTGTTCGGATTCTGTGCGCAGGCGCTGGGTGCTATTCTTCCCTAATTCGGCTTTCCCTGCAAGGGGCTTTATTCCTCTTCTGAAAAAAAAACCGGTGGGCGCGGGGTGCCAATTCAGGTTCCGCGGCCTTGTTCCTTGGGGCTCCAGCGAGCGTAGCGGCAATTCCCCTCACTAGGGTCGCGCAGGGTGTCTTGAAGACAGAACAGCTCTGAGGATTTTCTGTGCGAATGGGCCCCGCTCGGCGACGTCTCGGAGGAGGACCGCGACCGTCTCTACGAGCGCCAGGCGGTGCCCCCGCAGGCGAGCGGCGCCGCGCAGTTTGAATGCGGGATGCAGTGATCGTCCCAGGTCATGAGCTTCCTACAGCATCTCCAGGGATCGAGCTCCCGGGCAGGTCAGAGGCAACGTCAGGGGGGGAGATCGCACACATTCAGGACGTTTTTTGAAATTATCGGCAGGCTCAGGGGGGGATGCCTGGACCCCCAATCGCCCATTCATCGCCGATAGGAGCTCTATAGCCCCCCCGTGCCGATTCCAGGTCGATGCTTCTCCCCCTAATCTGCTCCCCCCATCGTTGTTCCTCGAGCTCCTGGGCAAGAGGGGCCACCATACAACCGTCCTAGATCAGGAGCCCATTGCTTGCATGGTACTCCCTGCTCCCTGTGATGGGCTGTGTGCATCAGGGTCATGCGTTCGCGGAGAGATCCCAATGGATCGAGCTCCTGGGCAAGAGGGGCCACCAGTCAACCGTCCGACGTCAGGATCTGTCTGCCGGCAGGGTGATTACATTCACTCAAGCACATGGTTTTTCTCAGGACCAAGGCGGTACATCAGGCTGCGCCGCACGCCGCTCGAGACGGCTCGGGCTCACATGCTTACGGTTGGGGCGCACGTCTGCGTTGGTGCTACCGCTCGTCATCATGCACTGCGCTCTACGCTGTTGCCTGCTTTGCAGACCTGGCGAACCAACTTCAGGCGCGCCAGTGCCAGGATACTTGATGTTCCCCCCCGAGCCACACAAAGACCAGCATCGCGTCTTGGCGGGCGAAGGATCTGATTGCACGCTTGGGTGGGCTGTGCGCACCCTCCGTTCCTGGCCATGCCTGGGTAGCCCGCGCCTCCGTGGCCCACCCCTTCGCCCATTGGCTGGCCCCTCCGCTCCCGGCCCCCCCTCGTGATCGCCGCGGGGCCGGGGCCTGCCGTGCGCGAGCAGGCCCCGGCAAGCGAGCGCCGCCCAGCAGCGAAGCCCCAGGTGTACATGCGCTCCCTGCCGTCGCTGCTGGGCAGGCGGGCCATGGAGCTGTGGGTCGAGATACGGACAGAAGACTAATGACCACAAGAAGAGTAACCGTACGATGTCCTACTGCTAGTAATAGTGCGAATCGTACTACCAGGTATACTAATCGTAATAACGTTACATTGATGGCACTAGCAGTAGCAAGCATGATACCAATACTACTCATACTCGTAAGTTTGTTATTCTCATTACTATTACTACTATTGCTACCGTTTTTATTACCATGATTTTTTCCATTCTTCTTTTTCTTATTATTCTTCTTCTTCTTCTTATTATTATTATTATTAGTATTACTATTATTATTATTATTATCATTATTATCATTATTATTATTATTATTATTATTATTATTATGTTTATTATCATTATTATTATTATTATTCTTATTCTTATTATGATTATTTAATATTCATTATTATTATTGGTATTATTATTATTACTATTATTAGTATTATCATTATTAGTACTATTATCATTATCTTTATTATCATTATTATTATTGTACGCACACATAACAAGACTAGTAAGTCTAAGCAGCCTACTGAGATCACGGGTGCAATTCTCCAATCAGAGCTTGCCTCTGTAGGGGTCCCAGCGGATTCATATGGTCAGGCGAGGTGGGTCGCCGATTTCGGTGGCCAGCCCGGGTGCCCCGGTGCCCGGGTGCTCTGGTGCCCGGGTGCCCGGGTGTCCAGTCGGGGGAGGAAAAAAGGGGGTGATGACTAGGGGGGGGATTGATATCATGGCGTGGGCCATGACATTTCCCTAGATCTCATGGCGCCTCTTCTTGTTTCATGACGTCCCTGGCCCCCCCGCTGGGCCGCGAACATGCCGCCGGTCATGATTTGCACACCCCCCTCTTGGACACCCCGCTCTTGGCCGCTCCCGATCCAGGGGTGCCTGGGTGCCAGGGTGCCCGGTGCCCAGGGGTGCCAGAGGTGCCCGGGGGTGCCCGGAGGTGCCCCGGGGTGCCAGAGGTGCTCGGGGGTGCCCGGGTGCTCCATCGCCCTAGAGGCCTGCAGCCTAGCCCCATAGCCCTATAACCCTATAGCCCTATCGACCTATAGAACTGTAGACCTGTAGCCATGTAGCCCTATAGCCCAATAGCCCTGTAGCCCTAAAGCTCTATAGCCCTATAGCCCCATAGCCCTATAGCCCTATGGGCCTATAGCCCTATGGCCCTATAGACCGATAGTCCTATAGCCCTATAGCCCTATAGCCCTGTAGCTCTATAGCCCAATAGCCCAATAGCCCAGTAGCCCAATAGCCCATATTGCCCATATAGCCCTATAGGCCTATAACCCTATAGCCCCATAGCCCTCTAGCCCTATAGCCCTACAGCCCTATAGCCCCACAGCCCCAAAAAGATTATGAATGGTTTTTCTCTGGTACCCTTGATATTCAAAATCAGGTTAATCAAGCAGATGCTGTTTACTCCTCGTTCTTGGCGCGTGCGTGTTTTGACGGTATCCCCGTCAGGGTTTCGGGAGTTCGCGGGTCTGTTATGGTCCTTCCCCTCTCCTTTCTTTTTACCTAACAGCGAAGACTGATAGGTTTCTAGTGGGATCAAAAGAGAGCAGCAGATCACTCCACAGGGGGGTCCGGGCAGGTGTTGGGAGTTTCTTTTTAGGGGCTCGTCTTCACTCCACACAGTTCAGGTGCCGGGCTCGTTTTTCACCAACAGTCACACACTTCGTGCTCTTCGACTTCCCAGAACTCCATTCCCAGGCCACATTCTGAATACCCGGATGCAACAGTCACACACTTCGTGCTCTTCGAGATCCCAGAACGCCATTCCCGGGCCACATTTAGAATAACCGGATGCAACAGTCACACACTTCGTGCTCTTCGAGTTCCCAGAACGCCATTCCCGGGCCACATTTTAGAATAACCGGATGCAACAGTCACACACTTCGTGCTCTTCGATTTCCCAGAACTCCATTCCCGGGCCACATTTTGGATGCCCGGAGCCAACTGTAGGCCACTTCGTGGTCTTCGAGTTCCCAGAACTCCATTCCCGGGCCACATTTTGAATGCCCGGACCCAACTGTAGGCCACTTCGTGCTCTTCGAGTTCCCAGAACTCCATTCCCGGGCCACATTTTGAATGCCCGTAGCCAACTGTAGGCAACTTCGTGCTCTTCGACTTCCCAGAACTCCCATTCCTGGGCCACATTTTCAGCAGGGGCAAGAGCACGACGAGGAGGAGGACGAGCAAGACCAGGAGGACGAGGACGAGCAGGAGCAGGACGAGGAGCAGGAGGAGCAGGAGAAGAAGGACGAGCAGGAGGAGGAGGAGGACGAGCAGGAGGAGGAGGACGACCAGGAGGAGGAGGACGACCAGGAAGAGGAGGAGGAGGAGGAGGAGGGGAGGGGGAGGACTACCAGGAGGAGGAGGAGGAGGAGGAGGAGGAGGAGGAAGAGGAGGAGGAGGAGGAGGAGGGAGGACGAGGAGGAGGAGGAGGAGGGGGGGGGAGAGCACCAGGAGGAGGAGAACGAGGACCACCAGGAGGAGGAGGAGGAGGAGGAGGAGGAGAGACACCAGGAGGAGGAGGAGGAGGAGGAGGAGGAGGAGAGAGAGAGGAGGAGGAGGACGAGGAAGAGGAGGAGGAGGAGAGGACCACGAGGAGGAGGAGGAGGAGGAGGAGGAGGAGGAGGAGGAGGAGGAGGAGGAGGAGAGAGCACCAGGAGGAGGAGGACGAGCGACGAGGAGGACGAGAACGAGGACGAGCAGGAGGAAGAGGAGGAGGAGGAGGAGGAGGAGGAGGAGCAGGAGAAGGAGGAGGAGGAGGAGGAGGCAGGCTGAGGCTGAGGCTGTGACTGCGACTGCCGTTGCCGCTGCGACTGTCATCGCGAATGCGACTACGACTGCGAGAACAGCAGAATTCGACAACTGGATTTTCATCTGAATCTTAAGGGGAATGCTTTCAGATATGCTTCTACACATCGCTGTTAGGTTGCTTTGCCGGGATAATTTTCCTCCTGCTCCTGCTGTTGCCGTTCCCTCATGTGTCCGCAGCATCTATGTCTTCTCGAGACGGTCGGCCAAAAGGGCGGGGACCCTGCGTCGTCGTCACCGTGAAGAACGATTGCAAGCGGTTATTGTTTTTTATTTTACCGCTTCGCTCATTCCGCCGGCCCTGGAGCGCTATTTGGGGCCTCTTGGGGCCGTCTTGGGGGCCTCTTGGGGGCTTCTTGGGAGCGTCTTGGGTTTCCATGGCGGCGTCTTGGGCCTCTTAGTGGGCTCCTGGGGGCCCCTTGGGGCGGGAGGGGGGGTAGTCGATTGCAGCCAGCCCCTCGGAGGCCACGATCCTCGTGAGGGGTGGCGAAAAATAGCCTCCCCCCTGGGGATCGCGCGGGACCCGGCCGGGACCCAGCCGGGGATCGGCTGGGGTACTTTTCGTCTGGGGGCCCCCAGGGGCCGCCCCGCGCGCGCGAATTAGAAATATTGTTAAGCAGTTACCGGAGATCTTAGCACGCCTCTGGCCCGTTGGGCTGGCGAATTTTTTTGATGTTCTCCTGGGTCACGGCAGGACGTAAACTCGACAAATTGACAGAAACCAGGCCGCCTTCGCAAGCGAGCTGGGGCCCTCGACCGCTAAGGTTTTGGCCAGGAGGGAAATTTGGCCCAAAGGCCGTTCCATCCCTGAACGTAGAAGCGAAGAAGAGGACAAGTGCGGGCATGCAAAGAAACTTTCGGAGCTCCGCGCGAGTTGCTCGGATCTGCGCTTGACCCCCTCCCTGGCGCGCGCAGCGCGCCAGGGGCGGCGCCAGGGGCGGCTCCAGGGAGCGGCGCCTTCGGGGCGGCGCCGGGGGCGCCACAAGGGGGCCGCCAGGGGGGGCGGGGGGTGGGGCCCAGCGCCGACCCGAACAATCGGTTCAAAATTTCGAGCATTTAGGTTTCTAAAGCTTTTTCCCCATGGCACAAGCCAATTACGTTTTGAGCCACCTGCGACCCATCAGGCGGCCGCCCGGCCAGGGCAGCGCAGAGTCTCAGCCACCCCAGACTCCCTCCTGCGGCCACGCATTCGGCCTGCCCGCTCTTCGGCGCACTCCCCGCAAGCGCCGACGAGCTGGGCCGATGCAGACGCTGCGAGCAGGCGCTCTCGGGCCACGCGGTCCCCGCCGCGGACGGTGAGGTGGATTTGGCGACAATCAGTACCGCCGCTGCGACCGCTGGGCCGCCCGGGTTCGCCACCCCCCGAAGTGGTTTTGCGGCGGCCGCCCCAGCGCCCAGCACCCATCCTGCCGCGCCTGCTTCGGAGTCAGCTGCGCCAGCCTTGGTTTTTGAGGCAGGAGTGGAGGACGACGGCATGGCCGAGCTGGACGCCTTGGAGGTCGACTCCGCCAGCCTGCAGACCCAGTTGAGCCACGCAGAGTTTTCCCTCCTCCGGAGCTGGCTCGAGCACGACGTCTTCGCTCACTTCCCCATCGTCCAGGCCACGACCGCCACCCAACATCCCCCGCAGGAGGCCGCCTTTACCTTGCCTGTGGACTGGGCTGGCCTCGATGCTACCCTCCAAAAGCTCGAGTACCACGTGGACTCTGTCGACCACTGGAAGGCCTTCGGCTTCGCCTTCTACGAGGGCCCCGACCCGACGGAGCAGGGTTTGGCGGCGCGCCTCCGCACAGCCAAATACTTTTGCTCCCTGGCCTCCTGCGGCACGTGGGCGGAGGTGGATATCCAGCGGGCCCAGGCGGTGGCGGCCAAGCTCGCCCGTGATGTTGAAAAGTGTGAGCGCGACCTCCCTGAGCTTCTCCGAGCCCGCCGCGCCGCCGAGGCCAGCAAACTGCCACTCTGGAAAGAACTCGGCACGGACGGCATGCACGTGCGACGCGACACCACGAACTTCGCTGGTGAGCAATTGCTGCTGAAGTGGCCCTCCATATTCACGCCCTCCCTGGAGCCGCCGCGGGTCTAGGAGTCGCGCAGGGTGGCTGCGCTCCTGGAGAAGGGGGGGTCTAGGTTTGGGAGCATCTGCGGGCCTCGCGGTCACCGTGTGGGCCCCCACCGGTAACGA